GCAGCTCCATGACAGCCCCACCTGGCCGGGGGGCAGGGAGCCAGGACCAATCTGGTTGCGCAGCCCCCATGCCCCCAGCCCAAACCGCAACCCACTAGGATGGGCCCAGCACCCGCAGCCCAGCCTGGGCTGGTCTCTCTGTGTCTGCTCTCAGCAGTGCCCACAGGCCATCCCCAGCCACAGTCCTGTGTGGGTGACAAGGTCATGACAACCGGCTCTGGCCAGGCCCCCGTCATGCGAGCAGTGAGCAGGGGGAAAGCCAGACAGACCCCGGCTGGGGTCCCCATGACCAAGAGGGGAGACAGGGGAGTTTAATCCCCTCCTGCCCCCTTTGCCTGAGGTGCTGCTCGAGCCAGTGTCTGGCCTCAGAGATAAGCCTAGCAAGGGCTGTTTCCCCTCTCCCCCTCCAGGCACACCCCGGCTGGGGTCCCTACCAGCCAGGATGGGGGTTTAAACCACTCCACAATCATATTTAGCCACCTGCCAGGGGGCCTGGCTATGCTCCCACCCCACCCTGTCAGCTTCCCTCCAACTGTGAGGCTGCTGAGGAAGAGAAGGGAGGACTGCCCTAGCACCTCCCAGTGTCTAGCCTGAGCCACTGTAGGCATGTGCCTGCCTTTCCAGAATCAAAAGTGAATGTCTATTCACTTGCAAATCGGTTCAGTCTATACAGGTTAGATTAACCGCAAAGATTGAATGAATTCAGGCTCAAGCTTTTTGAATGTCTGTCCCTGGAGAAGCCAAATATGCACAGCTGCCTCTTAAAGGGGTTACAGACATCCTCAGACTAGAAATGTTGTTTTCCTCTCCCATTCCTTGATGCTTTCAAAGTATATTGCTGAAGCCCCAAGAATAGGGTGGAGCCATTGAGGTTTGTTCCCATATCTAAGATCCTGTGAAATGTCTGCAGCTGAAAGCACTGATACAGTGGGGTACACAAAATAGTATAACCCTACCAGTGAAAGACAGGGTCTCCCCGCCCACATTTAATTCATCTTCAACCAAAACACTCTGCAATAAGATGGCCAAAAAGATAAAAGAGGCTGGGATAGTCAGAGGCTATGCACTGTACCAGCACATTAATTCTGCATGGCAGGATTCCTACAAACAATGACACACAGGGGCTGCTTAATAAATGTCATTTATGCACTCCAGCTGACACACCAAAATAGAATGAGAGGACAAGCAGCAATGGCTTCAAAACAGCAAGGGATGAAAAATTCAGGCTATACACTAGGAACTTGTTCTGATTGAGTAATTGGCCTGTGAGATGTTTTCAGGAGAAGGCTAAATACTATTTACTACTTGTAGATAATACAAATTAGCTGAGAGCAGAGCACTCTTATGTTAAAAGCTGCATGACTATACAGTAAATCTAGGGGCAGACATTCAAACAGCCGGAGCCTGAATTAATTCAGCCTTTGCAGGTTAGTTTAACCTGCCTAGGCTGAAACAGTTTGTAACAGGACAAACGTGCTCTCTAGACTGAGGCAATCCAGGCACATGCCTGCAGTTGCTCAGGCCAGGTGCTGGGAGGTGCTAGAGCATGCCTTGGCTGCAGGGAAGCTGTAGGAGATGTGTGGTTAACCTGGGCTGACGAGGCCAGGGAGGGGTGTCACCGGCAGGGACCAGAGCCAGGTCGGCTTGGTGCTCCCCCTCGCTGCTGCAGTAGCGGGGCACCACAGCCCCTGAGGCAGAGGGGGCAGGGAGGAGAGTTAGTTTCCCCTGTACCCCTTCTGGCAGCCAGGTCTGCCTGCTGTCACTGTGGCACTCATTCTGGCTGCCAGGTCTGCCTGCTGTCACTGTGGCACTCACTCCCTGCCCAGAATAGGCCCCCTGGCTGTCCCCTCACCAGAGACCAGAGGGAGGAGAAATAACCCCTGTCCCTGCCCCCCCCGGGCCCTGCCTGGCCATGCCCCGTCCCTGCCACTGCACCGGGAGGGGGCAGCAGCCCCTGTCATAATGTGGGGGAGCGTGAGCCCCTTCCCAGTGAGGGGCTGTGCTGCAGAGCCAACATAGCTGCGGTGGGCTGCATGCAGCAGTGCCAAGGGCTGGAGCGGGCCAGAGCCCTGCAAGCCCCCCGCAGCACCACTGCACTCCACAGCAGCTCTGCCAGCCCCAGAGCACAGCCCCTGCTGGGAAGGGGCTCGCACTCTGGGAAGCCACTTGCTGCTCCAGCTGCCGGGTGGGAGCAGTGGCGGGGGCAGGGCCTGGCCCCCACCACTGGTTCTGTGTTTGGGGCAAGCTACCTCCCAGTAAGAGGGGGCTTATTCAGCCACTAGCCCCGAGCACTTGCAGTCCTGGAGGGGTTAACTTGCAGCCCATTGTTCACCTCCCCCCTCCAAGCTTCACCTGCGGGCAGGCAGGGCAGACCCCACTGAGGTGCCAGAAGCCAGTGGCTAAATAAGACCTCTCCTGCTGGGATAGAGAGGTGGCAGTGGCCGGGCTGGGCAGGCACCGCCGTGGTGCAAGCAGTGTCTCTGTGCTCCCAACAGTAGGGGACTTATGCAGCCGCTGGCATCACAGCAGGGTCTGCCCAGCGTGGCCACTGCCGCCCTGTGCTCAGGGCCAGTGGTTGAATAAGCCCCTTCCTGCTGGGAGGAAGCTAGCCCTGAACACAGAGTGGCAGCAGCAGAGCAAGCAGCCTCTGTGTGCTCAGGGCAGGAGGGGGCTTATTCAGCTACTGGCCCCAAGCACAGGCTGAGAGGCTGTGCAGACCCTGCTGTGGTGCCAGGGGCCAGCCGGGGCCTATTCTGGGCAGGGAGTGAGTGCCGTGGCGAGGGTGGGCAGGCCCAGCTGGGGGTGGGCGTACAGGGGAAACTAACTCTCCTCCCTGCCCCCATCTGCCTCAGGGGCCATGGTGCCTAGTGCTGCAGAAGGAAGGGGAGCAACCGGTAGACTGAGCTTGGGTCCCTGCCGGTGGCACAGGGAGGGGGGAATTAAACCCTTCTCTGGCCAGATTCCTGCCCCTGCCTGTTCCTGCTTGGGCTGGGGAGCCAGCCCTGCTGTGGAGCAGAGAACCCCTGCCAGCCCAGAGAGCATGCCAGGATGCTGGGGGTCTCTTGTTTAACTCAAACCAGCAAGGAGACAGCCTTGATACATGTCGCTGGGATTGCATCTGAACTGCCCTAATGCCTGAGGGTTCTTGAATCTTAAATTTTAATTCTGGCCAGTCTCTAGGTAATTTCTCTGTTATAGGAATTGCTGACATGCAGCGGGAAGATGAAGGCTCACTCAGCCTCTGACTGTGAAGAGTTCAGAAGACATTTCTCTTGTAATATCTCACTTCTGGTTTCTGCATCTTTCATTGAAACATCCAGCACAGACCAGATATTGAACTAGATGGATCACTAGCCTGAGATGTCTGGCAATTCAGTATTCTGTGAGAGTGTATACTACAGGCTGCATGATCAAATGTGGGCCCCCTGCTGGAAAAACTGTGAATCAGTTCTGAACACAACAGTCTGCACCCTTTTAGCTCTACCTGGTACTGTATTATAAGCAGGAAATACTTGCCAGTTCAAGGGAGCTCTTCTCTATGTGAATCATGTGGGACGTTTGCCCAGGAGGAGCTAGGTTTTTAGTTGTAGCTATGTTGGTCTAAGGACATAGACAGGCAAGATTCTTTGAGTAGATATGGTATCTTTTATTAGACCAACTGAGTAATTGGCTAGTGTCATGATGCCCAGGAGGAGGGCATCATGACACCAGCTGGACAGAGAGAGCAAAGAGCTGTCAAAGTCTACACATCTTGCTGAGTGCAGATAATTTCTACAGACACTAGCATAAGGGCCAGGGTGGATGGGTGGAGGGAGGACATGCCCTCAGCAAACAGGATGAAATAAGGTTAAGCTGATATATATGTGCTGTTACTGAGCTAACAGGAGTGTACTGAGCTAAGGCATTTCAAAGGCAAAGCATTAGCATCTTCCTGCTTCTAAATGCAAAGCCTCTCAGGCACCCAGAGATGGCATTGTTCACCTCACACTGAAGATCTGCATGTGCATGGCTTGAACTGTGAGAGCATAGGAGTCCAGACCTCTGCTGGGTGTAAATCCGCAGAGCTGTGTCCAGGTCAGTGGAGTTACACTAGCTGAGATTTTGGCCCCTGAGTGTATACACATCTAGGGAAAAATTACTTAGCAAAGATGGATCCTGCAATATGAAGTTTGTTGCAGCGTATTGGAGAGCAGGATCCTACTAAGTATAATACAATGATGTAACCCTTTCCCAGGAAATGCAGCTGTAGAGGGAGATTTTCAAAAGCACTTATTAGACTGCAGAGTGGGGGGCGGGGGGGAGCTAGTCCTATTGAAAATGAACAGAACTTTTGGTCCCAGCTCTTTTGTTGTGGTAGAAAATTTCTCTACTAAGCAAGAGAGAAGCAATGACATTCCCTAGGGAGATTCTTGTCTGTGTTTCAAAACATCCAACATTCCCTTTTGGAGGCATGTTTCAACTCTACAGAGCACATTTGCTCGTGCTTTTTTTTTCTTCTTCCAGGAATGAGGTTATTTTGCATCCACACACATCCAAAGAGGCAGCTCTGGGCAGGTTGGATTGTGAAGGAGTAGAGAAAGCAACAGGGAACAACAGTCAATCCTACAGGGGTGGGCAAGATGCAGCCTGCCAGGCCATTCTATCCGGCCCACGGGGCCCCTAAAAATGTAGAAAATGTATATTTATCTGCCCCTGGCTGCCTATCATGCAGCCCTCAATGGCTTGCCAAAACTCAGTAAGCGGCCCTCCGCCCAAAATAATTGCCCACCCCTGCAATACTAAGTGGAGTCCAACTCCAGGAGGGAGTTTTTGTTTACTCTTGATACCTCCGAGGACTGAAGTGAATTGGTAGAGCTCCCAGGGGGCCTGTGGCCTGCCTGGCTCTGCAAACTGACACCCCCTGTGAACCCTGGGAAAACCCACCCTTCACACCTTCTAAATGGATGGGCATTACTTCTGATTAATGACAGTGAATTTTGCTGTGAATTGTTTTTCTACAGGCTCAGAAGTCAGTAACCTCTCCCCAGGGAGATATGAAAATGATGATGAGGCACTCAGCAGAAGGGCAGACAGCTTTGAACTGGGTGGACTGTGTAAACCTGATGGTTGGTGTCTGATGCTTCTTTACTCCCAGCTTATCCTTCCCTGAACCCACAAGACAAGTTGTCAAGGTTGCTTACTAGAGAGCAGCATGAGCCTGAGCCTGAGAAGACCTGGTTTCTATGTTCAGTTCTGGTAGTAGGTGATCTGCAGCATTTTGCCTCTGTTTCTCTGCCTCAATAAGAGCAATAATACTGACCTTTCTTGATAATGTATTTTGAGATCTGTGGGTAAAAAGTATTGTATGAGTGCTACATACTATTTTATATAGTCTCTAGTGCAGGGATGGCCAACCCACAGCACAAGTGCTATAAGTGGCATGAAAAACTTTGTGTTTGGCATGCAGCAGATCAGGGAGGAGCGGAGAATGCTGTTTCAGACAGGGCAAGGAGCAGAAAGCACAGCAACAGATTGAGCAGAGAGTGCAAGGAAAGGAGTAAAGAGCAGAGCAATAGATCCAAGAGGAGAAGGGGATCAAAGTGGCACTCATGGAAGGTGAGGGGCTTACCTTGTGGTACTTTGACCAAAAAGGTTGGCCTTAATTGGCCTAATAACTACAGCATTAGACTAGGATTCAGGAGACTTCTCTTCCCACTTCAGCTTCATGCCTCTTATGTGACTTGTAAGTCCCTGAGCTTTTGCTCCACATTTGTGCAAAGATGCTCCTCAATTGGAGAATATTACTTAGTTAACTGTGAAACATTGGTTATGCTGAATAGGGCTGTCCACGTACATAGATAGACAGACTTTGAACTACGCCAGCCAAAGAATTTGGGAATAAGATACATACACTGAACTTCCTGGAGAGATTTGCCAAAGCAATTTTCAAGGGCACTTTTTAGTCATGGATATTTCCACTATCAATTTCAACTTTCTACCTTCAGTCATTTTAGTGCTGGCACTGACAAGTAAATGTCATGTTAAAAAAAGAGAGAGAGACTGAAACATAACCAAGAACTCTGTTACCTCACAAAAGGCTTTGGGGAAAAGCAAATTCACCTTGAAATTTTCTAACTCAGGAGGAAGGCTTAAAGTGGAGCTATCTACATAGCCTTCATTACAATTGCTCCTAGCAGAGGTGTTTTAAATAGGAATAAACTCCATAGGGATTTTTAAAAAATTAAAAGCATTCTTCATCCCACTGAATTTTTCAATACTCTTCATTGCTTGTTTTCAGAATGTGCAGCTGGAGTTTATTAGTCAATTATTTTGATCTTTGGATACAACAGTTTTCTGATTGAAGGCAATAAGGTCTATTGAACAAGAATAAGAACAAGAAAATGTAGGTTCTAGTTCCAGCTTTGTTACAGGTCTGTTGGGTTGACCTTGGTCAATTAACTTCCCCTCCTTGTACCTCAGTTTCTACATCTACAAAATGGGAAAAACTATACAGATTTTTTAAAGAGTTATTGATGCTATATGCTGTATAACTATTCAACATTATTAATAAGGGGAAGGCTTCCCATTCTGGAAAAAAAATCTTCCATGAGACTAATCTGATCAACAAGATGCAAAGCAATGTAAAATACAGCAAAATAACAGGACAGTAACATAAAAAACGTTTCAAAGAAAAAACAATAAAATAATAGGAAAAGGTTTTTTTTTTTAAAGAAAATGCTTTTTAAAATTCTAACTTTGAGAAATGGCCAGCCCCCAAAGGTTGTTTTGAAAGCTTTCTACCAGCTATAATTGGTAATGCTGCAGCTAAAACAAAACATATGACTTTAGAAAGCCATTGCTCTGCATAAATTGCTCATCTCACTGTCTATTCAGCTCTCACTAATCTATAGGATTCCCCTTTGTGTCTCCGAATTTGAGATGGTCACACAGCAGCAACTTCTTTAGAAGCATGCAAGTGGAACTGCCTTGTTTTTCATAGTTGCCTCCTATCCGTAATGTTTCAGGCACACACTGGCATGCAATTGGGCTGGATACATGCGTGCTGGGAAAATGTTTCCTCCCAGCTACAGATGTGTTGCCAGCGGTTTGGGGGGGGGGGGGGGGGGGGTGTTCAGGGGAGGGGGGTTCTACTCATAAGAGAACCTCAAGGATGCTGATGCCTTGACAAGATAACTTTTAAAAGTCTGCAGCAATCAGATGAGTTTAGGAGAGTAGCCCTGTAATCAATCTCTCCATGGCTGGGCACAGGGATCAGTCAAAGACTGCAGTTCTTCCCCAAGCCAAGGTGAGGGATTAAGGCTGCCCTTTGTTAAATGGTTTTGTATCACTTTCCATTAGTATCTCTTATTGTTTGATTTGTTCCTAGGGCTAGTAATTGAAACATAGTGGTTGTTTCCAGTGTAGCCACTGCTTCTTTTCCAACAATGTTAACAAACAAAAGTGAACAGTGACTGTCTGGAGGCTGGTTGAAACTGAACAGCTAGTCCTGTCGGAGACAGTATAACTCGTTCTTCACTCTCTAGTTTCCATTTCTCTGTGTTGCTCATTTAAATCATCACACAGCTAAGCTCTGTTCCAGCATGTTCAGCTCCCAAAATTATATGAAGCCAGTGTCTTTTCCATAGAGCCATAGGATCCGGCCTGCAAAGCCAGGGGGCCTTGCTGGTGTTCCAGCAACAGGGGACTTGGGTGGTGTTTCAGCAGCAGGGGGCTTTGCCAATGCCATAGCTGGGAGAAGTGATGGGGACAGCCGCAGCTGGGTCCTAGGGCCAGCCTTCTTTGGACCCAGGCCGAGCCATTCTAGTTCACTGCTAGAATACTTTGCCAACTGCTGCTCTACATGATATCCACCCCAACCCACAGCTCAGCCCCAGGTTTTCCAATATTTTAGTTCAGGTTTGCAGAAGGATTTATTAACAGGGCTCAGCTTTCTAACCACAGTCCTGTTTCAAAACAAGAGCTGAGCCCAGCTCTGCAAATTATCCTTAAGAGATTCAATTGTGTGAGGTTTTATGAGTTGCATAGGAAATGGAAAACAGCCCAGCCCATATATAGAATCATAGAATCGTAGAAAAATAGGGCTGGAAGGGAGCTCGGGAGGTCCTGCTTTGAGCAAGGGGTTGGACTAGATGACCTCCTGAGGTCCCTTCCAACCCTTTCTATGATTCTGACCTCCTGCTTAAACCAGGACCACCCCCAACTAGATCATACCAGTCACGGCTTTGTCTAGTCAGGTCTTAGAAACCTACAAGGATGGAGATTCCACAAACTTCCTGGGTAACCTGTTCCAGTGTTTTACTACCCTCCTAGTGAGAAAGTTGTTCCTAATACCTAAGCTAAACTTCCCTTGCTGCAACTTGAGACCATTGCTGCTTGTTCTGTCATCTGCCACCACTGAGATCAGTCGCTCCATTCTCCTTGGAACCCCCCTTCAGGCAGTTGAAGGCTGCTATTAAATACCTCCTTAGACTTCTCTTCTCCAGACTAAATAAGTCAAGTTCCCTCAGCCTCTCCTTGGGAGTCATGTGCCCCAGCCCCTTCACCATTTTTGTTGTCCACATTCCTTCTGCAGTGGGGGGCCCAAAACTGAACACTACACCAGATGTGGCCTCACCAGCGCTGAACAGAGGGAAATAATCACTTCCCTTGATCTTCTGCCAACACTCCTACCAATGCAGTCCAGTATACCATTAGCCTTCTTGGCAACAGCTTGGGAAAGCAGGCTCTGCCCAAGAAAAGCAGCGAGCCTGATTTTTTTTTCCTCCCCCCTGGAGCCTGCCTGAGCTACACAGGGTCCTGATGCTTCCCTCCGCAGCCGCGGTGCCTGCCCCCCACCAGGACCATCCGAGCCAGGTGCCTGCAGGCGAGTGCCGCCTGTTGGGGGGCCACCACTGCCATGAAGGGAAGCACCAGCCCCTCCCCCTGCAACCCAGGGATTGCTCTGCCTGCTGGCAGCTCGCTCTTCCCTCCCCACCAGCTAGGCAGGTAAGTCAGTGGGGTGTATGCACAACATGGGGGTTTAATCAGCCTTAAAGTGAAGCAGTGTTTTTTAAAACCCACCACTTCAATTTAGGGCCCCCATTTTGTCTACACATGCCCAAGGGCACACTGTTGGCTCATATTTAACTTATTGTTTGCTGTAATCCTCAGGTCCTTTTCTACGGAGCTGCTCCCTAGCCAGTGAGTCCCCAGCTTGTAGCAGTGCATGGGATTGTTCTTTCCTAAGTGCAGGACTTTGCATTTGTCCTTATTGAATCCCATGAGATTTCTCTTGATCCAATCCTCCAATTTGTTTAGGTCTCTCTGAAATGTTATGATACACACCGGGTGCATCTACATGTGCATTAATACGCTGTTGCTACTGTGCATTAAATTTAGTACCTCTAATATGATTTACTAACTAAATGTGCAGTAGCTGGTTCTACTGCACAGTACCAAAGGTGCACAATTTTTTTGTGATGCTTAATGCACAGCAGACTAATTTTACTGTGCATTAGCACAGCTTTTGCCATGATGAACTAATGTGAAGTAGAATTAGTATACTGTGCATTAAGCATCTTGTGTAGATGTGCCCACTGACTTCTCTAATCTCCTGTTCTTGTAAAGATTATTGGTGGAGCTTGGCTACTGACTTCAAAGGAGTTAAGAGTCGCTTAGCTAGAAGTGATTGCTGAACACCATAGTGTCCACCTGTTTGTTATTTGAATGAAAGCAGTTATTCCTGAACTGTAGTCTGGGCAGCAGTAGGGTTATGTAGATGGAGATGGTAGTGAGGCTCCCCTGCTGGTAACATTCTCCTTGATTGCTAGACAGAGAAATTAAAGATATGGGGGGTAGGAATTAAGTGATGATCCTTTCTAAAAGGGCAAAATCTAATACAGCTAAAGAATATGGCTAACTATAGGCCCATTAGCCTGACTTCTATCCCGGGGAAGATCTTAGAAAAGTTTATCAAAGAGGCCGTCCTTAATGGACTGGCCGACGCCAACATCTTAAGGCATAGCCAGCACGGGTTTGTTGCGGGTAGGTCTTGCTTGACCAATCTCATTTCCTTCTATGACCAGGTGACCTATCACCTGGACAAGGGAGAAGAGATTGATGTCATATATCTTGACTTCAAAAAAGCCTTTGACCTGGCTTCCCATAATCACCTCTTAGAGAAACTGGCCAATTGTCGCCTTGGGTCCTCCACGATCCACTGGCTGGAAAACTGGCTCCGGGGTCGGACCCAGAGGGTAGTAATTGATGGAAGTCACTCATCGTGGTGTCCTGTGACCAGTGGGGTCCCCCAAGGCTCTGTCCTTGGACCCATACTGTTCAACATCTTCATTAATGATGTGGACACTGGAGTCAGAAGCGGACTGGCCAAGTTCACCGATGACACCAAACTTTGGGG